ATGGAGAACTAAAAAGCGGATCATTTTGAAAATTAAAGGAACATAATCTACACTTTAAAAATATTTTTGACCATGCGGTGTTGCCGCTTCTACTCTAAACTAGTGGCAACATCACTATTTTAAATGGAACACCCCATATTAAATTGCATATTTGGATTCTACGTAAAATTCTGAGCAGATTTCATGTGATATACCCTATACCTAAGTTCAACTGTTTTGGAAATATTGACAGTTGAAAATTGACTTTTTGCAACTTTGACAGGCTGTAGAACCTGAACGGTTAATTTTAGAGGAAAACCGATTTTACATTCCTATCTTAGGCCCAGTTGTACAATCTTGGTTCAAAACAGAGTTCAGCTAAACTCGACCGGTACTTGAACTTCCCCATTTGAAATGCATTGCTGTCAAAAATGATAGAACTTGATTAATAGCTGACAGCAATGTATTTGAAATGAGAAAGCTCAAGTACCAGTCGAGTTCAGCTGAACTTTGTTTTGAACCGAGATTGTACAACTGGGCCTTAGATTTTTATAAACTATCATTTGACACCATCTTTGAATTAAATCCATGATTAAAAATTTCAGTTAAATTTAATCTCCGGTTAAGTTCAAAGTTGGTGTCAAATGATAGTTTATCAAAATCTAAGATAGGAATGTGAAATCGGTTTGCCTCTAAAATTAACCAGTTAGGTTTTACAGCCTGTCAAAGTTGCAAAAAGTCAATTTTCAACTGTCAATATTTCCAAAACAGTTGAACTTAGATATAGGGTATATCACATGAAATCTGCTCAGAATTTTACGTAGAATCCAATTATGCAATTTAATACGGGGTGTTCTATTTAAAATAGTGATATTGCCACTAGTTTAGCGTAGAAGCGGCAACACCGCATGATCAAAAATATTTTTAAAGTGTAGATCATGGTCGTTTATCCCGGTTGCCAAATTTTCAAAATGATCCGCTTTTTAGTTCTCCATAAACGTCTAATACGCCATCCACCGTGGGACACCCTGTATTGCGGGGTCCAGGACTTTAATTTTTAAACCATTCGTTTTTAGCGGAATACACTATTCATAAAGCTGGAGAAAATTAAATTTCCTCCTTCAAATTTCACTAGTTAAAAGTATACTGTATCTCGGTTATTATTGCGTTAAAGAATTGTTTTGACCAGTGAAATTTGGAGAAAATTTAACGTTCTTCAACTTGGTAAAACGGTTAGTGTCGAGCTGGCACAGGGTCCTCGAGACGAAAGCTCAGATTCTACTGCACAGTGCACAGACTACACACAAATTATGTACTAAAATATCGGGTCTTCAAAAAAAAAACCAATCAAAGATTGCTTTGATTATGGAAACGTATGTCGCATTATTGTTTATTTATTGGTCAGGTTTTTTGACAGGACATTTTGACATTAAAGTTCATTGACAAAATTAAAGAAAAATATTGTTAAGACATACATTTGAAAACGCATAGCAATCCTTGACTGTTTTTTTTTTTTTTTTGAAGACCCGATATCATTAACATCGGAATTCTTTCCAGGTGGACTATTATGTATATCGCAACAACTTTAGAGAACTGAAATCTGAAGTAAACTGGTAAAAATATGAAAACTCAAAAATACATATAAGGTACCTTACCCAAATAAGGCCATGTACCTAATAAGGCCAGTACCCTCTATTGCTTGATATTGAATCCCATCTTCAAAAATTATAATATTATCGAAAAAGAAATCTATAATGTACACTATCGGACAAAAGTAAAGCAACTCTTTTAAAAATATCCAATATTTAATTTTCAAAAATAAAATATGCATTAGCGATGAATGAAATCCTTTCAGTTTAAAAGGTCATAGTAAGCTACAGTGACAGGCTAAATATGATTATTTTCAAATGTCAAATTAACTTGTGTGCAATAATTTATATAAATAATACACTTTATTAGCGCGACAAAAGTAGAGCAACTTTTAAGATATCAAAATTTTATTGCATTTAACAACACAAAAACAACAACTATAGCTAAAAGCTCATTGAAATAGACAATAATGAAAATAAATAACTTAATAGTTGATAGGATATCCATTGTTGGCTATGACTTTTTGGCAACGGCGCGGCATTGATGAAATTAAATTTCGGATAGTGACAATCGGCATATTAGTCCAAACCTCGTTGATTTTATCAATTAAAAACTGTTTGTTTGGAAATGTTGTGGTACGAATTTGACGTTCAACTTCTTCCCACAGGTTCTCGATAGGGTTGAGATCCGGTGATTGTGCTGGCCACTGCAGAACTCGGACATTGTTCTCCTGAAACCACCCCTGCACAAGACGAGAGGTGTGCTTGGGGTCATTGTCCTGTTGAAATACGAATCGCAAAGGCATTTCCCACTCAGCATAAGGCAACATTACATTTTGGAGTATGTCCCTGTATACCAATCGATCCATCGCCCCGTCTATGAAGTGCAATGGACCTACTCCAATCCATGAAAAGCAACCCCATAGAAACACACTTCCTCTTCCATGCTTTATGGTTGGTATAACATACTTTGGTTGAAACCTCGTATTAGTTGGACGTCTTACACGCCTCATTCTATCAGAATTGAAAATTTTATAACGAGTTTCGTCGCTAAATAAATTTTTTTCCCAGTCTTGAACTGTCCAATTTAGATGACGTGCAAATTCGAGCCTGGCACGGCGATTTCTTTCAGAAACCAGCAGTTTCTTGGCTGGACGTCTGCTGTAAAGCTTTGCTTCAACTAATCTTCGTTGGACAGTCCTCGCACTTACTTCTAGTTCAGGAATTGCAGCAATTATTCTTGGTCCTGACAACCACGGATCTCTTTGGCAAACTCTTTTGATTCTCCTATCCATCCAAAATGTAGTTTTTCTAAACCTTCCTGATTTTGGCATTTTTTCTACATGTCCACGTTCATTGAAACGTGAAATTATTTTGGATACACTGTATTTTGGCAAAAGAAACTGCCTGGAAATGTCAACCAAACGCCTGCCTTCCAAGAAAGCGTCTACTACCATTTGTTTTAACTCCAGACAAATTGGTTTACCTTTTGGCATATTCAAATCTGTCAAAAAGACGAATAATCTTAATTTTTAACTCTATAAATATGTTTTCCATCTTACCTGAAACTCAAATCCCTTCTTTTTGGAAAAAATAAAAAAGTTGCTTTACTTTTGTCGCACTAATAATGTGAATTGTTCAAATAAATTATTGCATACATTTTTGTTTGACGTTTGAAAACAATTGAATTTCGCCTATGACAGCAGTCAACTACAACCTTTTAAACTGGGATCATTTTAGCTTCCGTTATCAACAAGTGTATTTTTGATAGATGAATATTTTATTTTATAATAAGAGTTGCTCTACTTTTGTCCGATAGTGTAAATCAAAATTTATTGCGAGGGCTCCTAGCAACTCGCTATATGTCGAAAAATGGCCAACCATATATTTCATATGTCACGTTATAATTTTGAGACTGAATTAGTTTATACACATGTCTATAAAGTGAATGGAGCAAATATAATTTTTTAACAGGCATTTATGTATTGAGAAAGCTACAAAGTAAGTACAGAATAATATCTTTGCTAGATTTCTAGTTAGACTTTTTTTATCAATTTAACATGTTCCTAATAAGGCCATCATAAGAAAAATGTTCAAATATTATTACCTTAGTGATGTTTTTTGAAATACCTGGACTGGCCTGAAGTCTAATCAAGCAAGTGCTGCTGCGGTTCAGTTGTATGTAGACCTATTTGGATCATCATCCCAGGACTTGGAATTATTGTTTTTTTAAGAATGCAGACAACATATTATAAGTTCTATTTTGTGTTCTATCTCTCAAATAATAATATTTTCATAAATAATTGTACTTGTTTTAAACATTTTTTTAATGGTGGCCTTATTAGGAGCATAATGATCCAAAAAAGGCCAATGGTAAGGCGTCTTTGTATAGTAATAGAAGCGAAACACTTCACATATAAGCTCGTGATTTTTGTTGGGTTTGGTGGATAATGTTAGAAAAAAATAAAACTTCTTAATGTGGCCTTATTTGGGACAGGTACCTTATAAAACAAAATGTTAGTCAAGGCAGTCAAATAAAGATCACTTATTCAATTCGATTTCAGATGCATTTACCATCCCCTACTTATCAACTTGAAAACATCAGCTTCACCATCATGTCGTGACAATGATTTAAACTTTAGTTTCTTATAGCGACTTTTCTGCTAACCTTGGCGATGTTCAAATTTTTTTCTGCCTGTTTGACTGGGACTCCTTACTGATTGATAAACCTTTGGATGCAATGTTAAGTATTCTGTTTTAGACTTTGTATATGGCTAGTGAACTTTCAGTGCCCATTCCACCAGAAAAACAAAGGATTATGTAAACCAACTATGTTAAGGGAATGACAATAAAAAATACAAATTTGTAATTTTTGCTTGATAATTCAAATTCGAGTATTCAAACAAATTTTCTGCCTTTTTTATTTTTTAGGTGTTCCATTTCCCAAGCTTCGACAATGGTAGCAGATTTGGTACCAAAACGTCAGCAAAAAATCCAGAACTCATATCACTGAGCCTAATCAAGTATTATTTTATTAAAATAATAAAACTCGATTCGTTTATAAAAACTCCATTTGAGTATAATATTTTATAAAAATAATCTGATATCGGTAAAATTGCTCTAATCAGAGAGCTTGTAGTAATTCGTATCAATATCAAGAAGCTTCTGGTATTAATTTCAATTGAGGTGTAAGTCCCAAAAAATGCAAGGTAATAATATTGATTCTTGGCTAATCAAAATATGAAGAGAGTTAAGTAGCTTTGGGAGATCAATTCCTTACTGACAATGAAATAATACATGTAGAAGTAAATAAAATAGTACACAGTACACGTGAAGCAAACAGTGTTAGTGACAAGAAATTACTTGAACATGAAAAGTTGGTTAAATTATTATAAAAAAAATGCATTGGTTTTGAAATTGCAAATTGCTCACCTGAGTTTTGTTCAGTCTTTGAATTTGCTTTTCTCTCCATAATTTTTGGTGAATGGTTTTTTCTTGCGGGCTTTGCTAGGAACGTTGGGGGTGCCTGGAAAGAAGAAAAAAGAAACATTTTAAAATGTTATCATATTTTAAATGAATGAATTTAGTTCTGTATTATATACAGTTATGTGTGAGATGATGAAATACAACAATGAGCATTGCAATTTCCAACCTCACCTTTATAAATAAACTTTATTAACGGACAAGCCATTTACAGTAAATAACATAATACAAAAATATATGACGTTATAATATTATCGAAAAACACAAGAACTTAAAATTTAACATTTACGTTACATATAAATACACTGACATTTAGTGCTGCAGACTATTTAACAAATGTTTACAAGTTTTCAGAGACATGCCAAAAAAATCAAAATTGTTGGGTAGCTGATTAGCTTCTCTGCATATTCTAGCCATAGGGCAGAAAAAACCATAATTAGTCCTATGATACTCGCTATGAAAAAGATGCACTTGCCTAGTCTGTCTCACAGGGGCACGCAGGGAAATGCTGTTCAACAAGGGGGGACAGTCAATTAAGTTATTAAGCAACTTGAAAAGTAAACAATCATAAAAAAATTATAATATGGTACTGAAAAAGCCTTTGGGAGAGTTTATGAAATGACAAATTATATCAAAGATCTCAAACTACAAGTTGTACAGAGTTTAAAGGCCCATCCTCAATCAACCTGGTAGCGATGTGGAACTTCGGCACGCATGCTAGGATAATGTTTTTTAACGTTGGCACGCCGACACCGAAATGCAAGCTTACAAGCTACAAGCTTTTTCGATGCGTGCCGATTTGTGTCATGCGCAGTACGGTAAAAAAACTAATTTAGGTTATGTGACCGTCCTACACTCACAGCAGTTTGAAAATTGACAGCTTGAGGATGGGTATCAATTTCTTAGCACGCGTGCCGAATTGCCATTTCGCTACCAGATTGATTGAGGATGTAGCTTTAATCTAAAATAATTTAACCTAAAACAATTCTGTTGGCCTGCGTCTTAAATTTATCTTGAGCTAAACTAAAGAAGTCAAAATCCTCATAGAACTTATTTTCATTGGCAGATATTCTATCAACAGGACTGAATAGTGATTACCAAGTTCGACAGTAAGGAGGGTGTAGTGAAGATTTACTTCGTGTCCGATAACTTTGAGTGTGTGGATAAAAACGTTCAAGACATTTGTGGTTTCTTATATAGGATTTGAGGATATTAAAAGCAAAACAGAGATCAAAGTATTCCCTTCTTCGTACAAGTGGAGATAAGTCTATGTAAGTCATAGTCTGGCCATGAGAATCACATCACTCGGAGAAAGTTTGTACCTTGCAAACTTGATAAATTTGTGTTGAACATTCTCAAGCCTATTCATGTGGATCTAATAGTCAGGTGGCCAAACTATGCATGTAAATTCAAGAACGGATCTGATTAGTGATGTGTAAAGAATTTTGATAGGGCATGTACTTGTAAAGTCCCTAGTAGCTCTTTTAATAAAACCCAACATTCTATTAGCCTTGCCAATTACCATTTCAAACTGCTCGGTAAACGTTACCCTAGTATCTAGAATCTAGATAGACAACAATGACATCTTTAATGAGAAACTTCAGACAAGCGAACATTATTCAAGCAATACTGAAAAGGAATCTTTTGGGTGAATCTACAAAATCTAATGCAACAACACTTATTGGTGTTGAGGGACATGTCATTAAGTTGATACCAATCATCAGCAGTATTAAGATCGTGCTGCAGAATAAGTATGTAATGAGCTGACGTCACCTGACAATACAACTTTAAGTCATCAGCGAAGAGGAGAACAACGATCCTCAATCATCAATAAATAAGCTGAACAAAAGGGGGCCCAAGTGAGAGCCTTGGGGTATCCCATAAAGGATGCATGGAAAAAAGAAGAAAGATAGCCAACGATCTTCACTTGTTGCATTCTGTAAGGTAAGATTTCATCCATTGAAGTAAAGGTCCACAAACGCCATAACTTGAGAATTTTGAAAGAAGGATGTTGTGGTTTAGCTTATCAAAGGCTTCACTGAAATCAGTATATATTGCACGAGTTTCTGCATTGTTATCAAATAACGAATTTATAAAAATTTTAAGAAGAAACAGGCTCGTTACGTATCAACAAATCTACTGGCAACTGGCACTGCTCAACGGCTCTGATTGTTCTCGACTAATTTTCTTATTTTTGAAAGTCTGTTTAACAAGACTTAAAAATCAGACACAAGTGATTTGAGAATTATTATTCAAAACCAATTATTATTTAATTTGTTTCAAAAATACTTACGACTTTATCACTTCGTTGTCCACTTGGTAACCGGGCGATACCAGCTTCGGGGCTGTCTTCTGGAGGCGGCGGTTGAGTTATCCAGTTGTATTGTCGTTTGTCTAAGGGCAAGCCCCACCTGAAAAAATAAACATATTTTTCAAGAACACAAGCCAAATTCAGGCATTTTTGTAACTACACTCAAAATAATAGTAGTCTCTATCTATACAGGGTAAATTCTGCATACTCTTGAAGTGAAAATAAATTGAAAAATATTTAGAGTGATGAGTGCCTAATCACCAAACTTTGAGAGACTGCATGGGAGTTTGAAGCTTATCAAGCTTGATAACAAAAGGAAAGTCTCAATAAAAATATTTGAGGTTGTAGAACAAATTCTGAATGGAATTGCTGAAAATTCAAAAACAACTATCAGCATGAATTAATATTCAATATTAGAGTATGAATTATGGACAATAATATTGTTGTCCTAATTAAATGGTAACACCAAAACATGCTACATTTATCATAAGTTGAAAATAGTAAAAAAAGCTGACAACCATCACAATAACTTTTTCTTACACCCCAGAAGTAGCAAAAGAGTATGTCTGAAGGGTGACTGACTTAGGATCTACAATTTACAACAAAAGTGCCCAGTTGCAACTCTCTTTCAGGAATTTAATTCAAAGCCTAGAATAAATAGGAATGTATTTACTCAGACTTACCTTTCATATTCTAACGATTGCGTCCTCAAGGTTTCGTAACAATCCAGACATACGACTGAAAAATCACCGTTCTCCAGAAGCAGCGAATTTTCCGGCTGCGGATGAAACCGCAAAAAAGGAAAATCTTTGATAAGTAACGCCCGAACCCTTTTCCGATAAGTAGTGATCCCACACACGTAACAACAGTAGTCGTGAGTATTATATTCGCGCCTATCTGCCGCCGGTGCGTGGCCACTCTGAGACTCATACCTGAAAAAATGGTATATTTGAACTACTCATGTTTTTTGTATAGATTTTTTTGTTTGTTTTTGCTTGATGGTGGTTATAATTCAAAGTTCTCACCTACGCCACTGATGAACTAAACTATGGTAACAAAAAGTGCAAACGAGGGCGCTACCGTCCTCCCTGAGCTGTTCGGCGTTGGGCGGACTTTTGTGTCTCAACAAGGCCGGGAAATAGGGCGCATTCCTACCTACAATAAAAATGTTGCGTGAAACAATTATTGGAATTTCAAATAAATAAAAATTGATGTTTCTTTTTAACACACCTTGAGGTTTGCTATAGACCACCCGTGCCAAAGTAAACTCCGAGTGCAAACCGCACAGAAAACAGTAAATACTGCTACCGCCTGTGGCTGGTTGACTGCATACAGTTCTTTCACTGTTTGTACTTGGAGGAGTGGGGATACCTCTATCGCCATTCATAATTGTTGGTGATTCAGGTAAAGGGACATCGTATCTAGAATAATTTTTAAACAAATAAGAATCTTGAAAATGGCAAAAAACTAAAACAGTTACCTTCTTCTTTCTAATGGCACTCTTTCAGCTTCATAAGTCTCCCACTGTTGGGCTAAATGATTGACGCACCTAGTACAACTTAGAACTCTACCGTGAGAATCCATACAGCTGTTTTCCAATGTCCTACCAATCTAATAAAAAAATTTATCTGAGAATATTTTAAATGAGGTTATGGAAGCGCTCACCTTTGATAAACATGGAAAATGCATGGCGTGGGAGTTCATCCCTTCGGCCGAGGTACTGATCCATTCCATTTGGTCCAGGGGGTAGAGCCCGGCGCAGATATAACAGCGATAACTTTGCGACCCCGAATGACCGTTGACGTCCACTAGAGGGGAACTGGTTCTTGAAGTTAAAGCAGCCTGAAAAGAACAGAATATTCAACTAGACCAATTTTAAATTGATTGTTTCTGGGGTTCAGTTGGAAATGTTCAAGATATTTTAGGGCTAGTTTTCTTAATTTGCAAGGTTTAAACCAAAATAATGTTCTTTAAAATATTAAAATCAAATAATATATAGATATGAATAAATCGCAGAATACCTAATATCATTTTATTAAACACACAAAGTTTGCCATCAAAATTTGATGAAATACGTGACTATATACTACCAGAATGTAAGGGGTCTTCGTACAAAAACCCATGATTTGTGCTCACTGAAGTGTGCTCACTGAAGATTATGACATAATTGTGTTAACCAAAACATGGCTAACTAATGGGATCGAAAACTCTGAGTTATTCAATGGAGAATACAGTGTCTTTAGAAAGGACCGAAATAATGATAAGTCGATGGGAGGTGGAGTACTTATTGCTACAAAGGTACATTTTGCAGTAGAAGTTATTGATATTGAATGTGATAGAAGTATAGAGTGCCTGCTTTTAAAGATTAAGTATAAGAAGAATATTTTTTATTTGTCCTGTTTATATATTCCACCTAACAGTAATTTATGTGTATATGAGAGTGTGTTTGACGCATTTAAGCCGTTTCTTTTTGGCAATATAGATTTTACTCTTATGGGTGACTTCAACGTGCCAAAGTTTTTCATGAAATCCTGTGATAAAACCTGCCTTATCTATCAGTTCCTAGAGTTACATAGTCTGACACAAATTAATACTATATTTAACTGTAAGGAAAGGTTGTTAGATCTTATTTTTAGTAATATGAATTTTATAGATATTCTCGAATGTGATAATCCTCTAGTGAGTAAAGATATGTATCACCCGGCACTAAATATGTTAATGATATTGCATGGTAGTGGTACCCAGTCTGATGAAAATAACATAAAGAAAAGCTTTTATAATGATTACGCAAATGGCAATTTTCCCATGCTTTATCACTTGTTAAACTCAGCAGATTAGTCTAATATATACAGTGTATCTGATTGTGATGAATGTGTGGATATTTTTTATGATACTTTATATAAATGTATAGACCAAGCTATCCCTAAAAAGCTTGACAAGGCAAGTAGTGGCCGTAAGTATCCAGTCTACTTCTCAGTTGAATTAGTTAGGGACATTAGGAAAAAGAACAAGTTACATAAACTGTGTAATTCAGGGAATGCAACAGATTTGCAAATCACTGAATACAGGAATCTAAGACGTACTATTAAACACCAGACTAAAGCTGAATTTAGGTCATATCAACAAAAGATTGAGAACAATATAAATTTAGATCCTAGCAGTTTTTGGTCATATGTCAAAGGGAAAAGTAAAAACAATTGTATCCCTCATGTAATGAATTTTAACAATGTTAGTTTTAGTGAACCACAGTGTATAGCAGATGCCTTTGCTCAATACTTTAGTTCAGTTTTTCAGAAGTCTACACCAGTCGATGAAAACATTTGTTATGAGGGAAATTTCGTCTTTCCTAAACTGATAGAAGAAAATGTCAGACTCAGCATTAAGAACCTTAAACCGAAAAAAGCCACTGGTGTGGATAATGTTCCACCCTATATTTATAAAGGCCATGTGGATATATTTGTGAAGCCCCTTGTACATATTTTTAATCTGTCAATCAAAACAAATAAATTTCCTAGTCTTCTCAAAAATTCAGTAATTTCTCCAATACCCAAAGTTGGCAAAAGTCAAAGCAACATTGAGCACTATCGACCAATAACAATTGTAAATTCTTTAGCCAAAATATATGAAACAATCTTGTGTGAACAATTATTAGAATATTTTCAAAGTTCTTTTTCACACCAGCAGCATGGTTTTTTGCCCGATAGGTCCACTGTGACAAATCTTTGTCTGTTGACCTGCAAGGCTTCGGAAGCAATAAATAACAAAAGTCAATTGGATGTTATTATGACTGACTGCACAAAAGCTTTTGACAAGGTCGATCATGGTTTATTGATAAGTAAATTAAGTAAGTTTAACTTTTCCAAAAGTGCATGTACGCTGATTGAATCTTATCTTGAATCTAGGTCAATACAAGTTAAAGTGGGTAGATGTTTGTCTTCTGATTTTATTGTGACATCTGGTGTCCCTCAGGGGAGCAATCTGGGGCCCTTACTATTTACTTTTTTTGTTAATGACTTGCCCTTATGTGTTAAGCACTCTTCATGTCTGATGTATGCTGATAACTTTAAGGTATATAGGGAAATTTGTGATGCTGAAGAATGTAGAAAGCTACAAAGTGATCTCGATTCAGTATCCAATTGGTTTCAGTTAAACAAAATGTATCTTAATGCTGATAAATGCTCAGTGATAACTTATGCACGTAAAGTAAATGTTATTAAGTTCAATTACTTCATAACCAATGCTTCACTTACAAGACAAGATAAGTGTAGAGACCTAGGAGTTGAATTTCAGTCAAACCTAAATTTTTCTAGTCATTATAATAGTATTGTTAATAAAGCATACTGAGCGCTTGGGTTTATAATTAGAAATAGTAGGCATTTCGAAAGGATTGATTCTGTAGTAAAACTGTTCAATTGTTTGGTGAGACCTCATTTGGAATACGCTGCGGTTGTTTGGTCACCTCAAACCGAAGTTAACATTAACCTTATAGAGAAGGTACAGAAAAGATTTCTTAGATATCTTTATGTCAGAAGTTATAATGTATACCCATTGTTGGTGTCATATAGGAGTATGTTGGATGATTTTAAGATTCAATCGCTACACAGTAGAAGATGTATGCATGCAGTCAGTCCTACTCATTTACAACATAGTCAATAATCTTAAGTACAAGTCATCCTTATTGATAAATTATGTAAGTTTTCATGTACCAAAGGTAAACCTTAGACTTTATGGTAACAAGATTTTTTCATGTAAAAATGTAAACAACTCTCCAATTAATAATATGCAGTTGGAATGTAATAAATTTATTGAAAGGCATAATATTGACATTTTTGCTTGTCGAATGGGAGAGATCAAATCGCTATTTTTGGCATAAGAACCTCGGCGGGCTTTACAAGGCATCTGTCTAACGTTCCTTTTTTTGTTATTTTTAGTATTTTATTGTTGTTTTTATTATTGTTATGTTCTGTCTTTTATTTTTTTTACTTATTTTTTCTTGTCTTTTAGATTTAGGCACTCTTATATGTAATTACAAATTATTGTGTATGTAAGATGTATCAATAAATAAATAAATAAATAAATACTAAAGACACAAGTGCTTGCCGCATATCTGACCAAAACAAGATGACTAGGGATTTTGGTGATTGTATAGATAATACTTATTCAGAAAAATTATGTATATGATAAACCTAAAGATATCCTCACTTCGTTCCAGATGATAGAACATGAAAAACTTCACGAGGTTTTATTTAGCTTACCAAATTATTTATTTATTATTTATTATTTATTAGCAATAGAATAGAGTACCATAATACATTAGTAATGGTTAATCTAACTTAAACTAAAGCTAACAACTTCAGTGCACAATGGTATTCAAAATACTGTGTGTGCACCCGATTTACCTATCATTTCAATAAATTGAGGTTGAGGTTAAAATCCAAAATAAATTATCCATTACCTTCCTTTCCCAAAAATACAATAAATTCCTATACTAACATATTTCCTATCTTTTTAATTAAAAATAATAGTACATTTTGATATAAGTCTCACGCCATAAACGTAATACTATAATTGGTTTGAACTATCCATTTTATTATTTCCTTTTTTATTTTATGATAGGGTCTACACCTTATCTCTTGTGGTAAACAGTTAAAAAACCTTTGGGCCTACATAATAAACATGATTCTGGCATAATGGATGTCTAGCAGTTTGTAAGGAAAGATTACTGTGGGATACATTTCTTGTGTTTATGCCATGGCATAATCTGTTTTTATAATATTCAGTTTTTAACATAAATCTTATAATTGATTTGACATAGTGTAACGTGCCAAAATTTACCTTTGTTTCTTTTAAATTTTATTCTGTAATGGGTACATATTCCTCTATTGAAGATTACTTTTGCAACAACGATTTTTACCATAATAATTAACAAGCAACACTTATTAATTAAAACGGCAGAGTTATTTATTTTGTAAACAAACATTTTCATACGTAACCTCAAAATTCGGTATTTAATTTGCCCTAATTTGCATTTAGTTACGGAGTGCCGCTCCTTGTGGTTTGGTGCAATGTTTTGGGTACCGTAGCACCGCTCCCTGTGATGTTTGTCCAGTTTTATTAGCAGCCAACTTCAGTCACGGCTATTTCACGCGGTTCGATGACAGTTAACCATAAGGATGTGCTCTGCTTGTCGATTTATTCATCGTTCGATTTTCTAACTTGTACTCAATCCATAAGGAAATACCTTATTTTCTTATTCATAAAGGTATCTGCCTAGTGTCAAAGTGTTGTTTGTTCGGTTATTGAATTCTAGTTTCCCTCCGAGTGAAGTGTAGTCGGAGTAATTTTCTTCATCGTTGTGGCTAAACCTGCCCATCTCTACTAGTAAATTGTCAACTTGGTAACTGACCTGTTGAATTTTGGGGTCTTTTCTACCTTGCAAGGCGTAGGTGAAGGAGATAAAGGGTTATTTTTGATTTTACCCGTTTATGGGGATTTAAGCCCTTTGGTTCTCTATAAAAATTAAATTGTAGTAATTTATCTTTTGGTTCTACCTTACCTGACTTCTACAATTTAGACCGTTTTACGGATTTGAGCACCGTTCGTCTGCTTGGTGATTTGATTTGGCCCTTACGACGATCTAAGGACTATTAGGAGACATTCCTGTTCCTGAACGTGTCCCACGTTTTGTTGAATAAGCAAGAAAACCCACAGGGTTTTTTTTTTTTATGCTGAGGGTTCTCCTTTACTGGGTTTCTCAGTCAAGATTTCTACCTCCTTCCTACCAGTTCTTCGACTTACCCTTCAAATATCTGCCTTTATTCAGCGGCTCATGGCCTGAGTGT